GACTGACTGACTGACTGACTGACCGACTGACTGTTTGACCAACTGACTTACTGACTGTAGCTTACTGATTTACTGCAGCTGACTGACTCAGTAATTGATTCACTGACTGGTTGACCAAATAACTGACTAACTGACTTAATATTTAATATCTCATTTGCGGTCATTTCATTCCCTCCAATTGGTTATCTTTGCGGGATTCATTTTGAATTTAGTCTCGTGGACTACGTTTAATACATCATTCATTTTTCTCATTTCACTTTTGAGTTTCTGAGCTGGGAATGATGTGATCGGTTGATCATTTCACACCGCATCGATAAACAAATGAGATGACACCTCGATCACAAAACAGGACACTCTGGCAGCTTATGGATAACGCCAAATACCTTGTAAAAATCACTGGTGATTCTTTTGTGACACAGTTTGACGGGGATCAACGATGACGCAGTACAGTGCGGGGTCCAGAATAACAGATCCGCATTGAATGAATATGTAGATGAACTACACATTGTGCATAAAAATTGTCTGTGTGAACATAAAACAAAAGACAGTTAATACAACTGTGGCACATTCTATCCGAATCATTTGTTGATACTGTGATTCCGTGTCGTTCGCATTTCGTAGTTTTTCTTGCCTGTCCGTTCGGATCTCTCGGGGGAGGAGCGGAGAATACAACTGTTACATTGGAAACAACAGATGGTCTCGGTACTTCGATAAACAAAATGGCAAAGTAGATTTCTTTAATGTAAACAAAAGCAAATTGCACCGATCATGAATATTTCTGACGTAAATGCCACATGCTTGACGTTCGCAATTTTCTTCAGTGACAAAGAAAATGCTACGTTCCAGTGCCAAAACAAAACCCGCCGTCAATGTGATGGAAATAGATACGTCTTACTTTTCAGATCTACTTGTAAAACTTGTTAGATATTTGCATATCGATTATGGTTAACTTCATATCACGTAGTTAACAATACACACCATCCTTGGTATAAACAAGCATTTGTGTATTGTTGATTGACAAATAAGTGGGAGTCTTTCTTAAAAGCAATTAAAAGCAAGGCGGGCGTTCAATTTTTTAAACAGCAACCAAATTGCCGTACTAATGTAGTTAGTCTGGAGACCATAAAATGCAGCCTCTAGGGCTGTCTGGAATTGGTATTAATTCGAAAACATACTTGGTATGTGTTGTACACTGGACAAAATGGGCGCACACCACCATAATCCGCATATCGTGTACTTGATTCTCCCTCTCCGCAGCATTTACACATCGTGTCCGTAAACTTTAAGATGTAAACGTGAGTTACGTGGTTTTTCGTTATCAGTAAAGCATGATAATCACTTATTCTCACACATTTTTTGTGACACAAGAGGAAGAGAACGAGTATTTTTCTAGGACGAAAAAAATGTGAGGTACTTAAATAAATACCGATTTGCCAAACAACATCGTCATCATCATCGTTGGCTTGGGGCTTTATACCCATCAATGGTCAAAATGCATTGCCGACATCGATAAATGTATTATTTTGAAAAACAAAGGATCACAATAATGTTCAGTTAGTGGAATTTAGGAACTATCTAGTCGAGTTTCTTCTTCACTGATATGTGCCAATTTCAATTGTGCTACGGTTTCAATTTCCTTCATATCTCATTATTACAATGTTGCGTTTGAGTTTATTTGAAGTAAACCACTCGATCCCCTACCCCGCTCGTACATAGGTGATAGGGAGTGGGGGGGGGAGAGAGGCAGCCCCCTGACTCAAATAGGTACATCTCTGTTTTTGTGTGTGTGTGTACTTGCCTTATTATTTCTAACCGTACGTGTTTGGTCAAATGTTGCAATGATAAGAGAAAGCGAATGGTAACTGTCTTCCCGCCCTCTCTCTCTCTTTCTGTAATGGGAAATCCAATTGTGAACAATAGGGATCAGGTCACGTGAGATGTTGATACGGCTCAATCGTGGAAATTAAATTCACAACTGTTCTCGTGCAAAGAAACATGTAAACAGATAGTATAGGAGATAGGAGCAACGGCCGTGTTAACGATGTGCTTTTAGGTTGCCTCAATGAAACAAACCACTTAGGGAGAAACTGAAACAAGAAAAGTTATATTTTTTAGAATAGACGCATCTCTCGCAAGAATCACAGTACAAGGAACCACGTTATTATATCGTGAAAAGAAACACTTTGCGCACGGCAAAAAACACACGATGGGTAAGGATTATCATTCTAATAGTAATAACAATAATATTAATACTATTGATGCGGATGAGAATTACAAAGATGGGGTTCATGAAGAATATGATGATGATGATGATGATGATGATGATGATGATGATGATGATGATGATGATGATGATGATGAGGAGGAGGAGGATGATGATGATGATGATGATGATGATGATGATAAATCTGAAACATATATTCTGCATTCTGAGTCTGTTGAATCAAGCGGCCACATGAAAATGCCTGTCGGTGGGAATGAGTAGGGCTAGTGCTGTTAATCGACAGGCATCTTTGGCAACGAATTTTGATAAAACATTTTAATTTATGATGAATCGCTAATCACAACTCACCTGTGTACTGCTTATACTCCAAATCCCATCAGAAATTAC